TTGGCACGAGTCAGGTCAAGGCAGCGACGCGTCCGGTCGTCTTCAGGTGGTGTGCGAGCGAGTGAGGATCTAACGTGGGCAAGGTGCATCCGGTCGGTTTGCTTGCATGTCAGGTCGCGACTTAGCCGTTGCGCTGAGGTACTCGACCGTTGAGATCGAACGGACGACATCAAACGTGGAGGACACGTGGCGCTCATCGGGTGATTGGACGCTGGAGGCATGCGTCCGGTCACCTCTGACCGGCACGTCCGATCGCCCCGTGTTCAGTGCAGTGAGGAGCCCAATGGCTCTATTCATGGGGGCTCTCTATTTAAGCCCCATGGCCGGCTCAAGCTCACTCTCTTGGCCATTTGCATTGACATAGTAACATTGTGAGCTTAGCCAAAGCCCTCCCACTCATATCCATCATTGATTCATCATCTTTGTGAGATTGAGAGTGAATCCAAGTGCATTGCTTGAGTGTTGGCATCTAGAGGCACTTGGTGTTCGTGTTTCGTTGCGGGATTCGCTTGCTTCTCTTGGTGGTTGCTGCCACCTAGACGGCTTGGAGCAGCGAGGATCGTCGAGTGGAGAAAGGTGCTTGTTTGCGGCTCCGATCGTGGTGATTGTGAGGGGTTCTTGACCTGTCCTCGGTGGAGAGCCAAAAGGTACTCTAGTGGATTGCTCGTGGCTTGTGTGATCCTCGTCTTGTGTTGGTTGTGTGGCACCATATTGAGGGTTTGGCGTGTGATGCCAATTAGCGTGTGAACCTTCAAGTGAGTGAATGCCACAACAAGGACTAGCTTGCCGGCAAGCAAGTGAACCTCGGTAAAAAGTCTTGTGTCACCTTGTCCGAGGATTTCATTGGTTGTCTTGTGATTGATTAATTGGCTCCATCTTGTGATTGGCACACTCCTCGACACGTCGGTATAAACATGATCACCTCTCTTGTATTATATTCTTAGTGTAGCTAAACTCTTTAGTGTAATTAGTTTTGAGAGCTAGTTTGTGTCGGGTCTAATGGTTAGTGAGGCTCTTTAGTTAGCCTTTGAGAGCTCACTAACTTAGTGTAGTGACTTAGCAAATTGTGTGCTTAGTGATCATAGTTACTAGAATTATGGTAGGTGGCTTGCTCTTTTAGTAGGCTAGTGCAACACTCGCTTCGTCGTTTAATTGTCTAAGATATTTGCTAAGTGTTGTTGTAGAAATTTTTAATAGACTATTCACCCCACCCTCTAACTATTAGGATTTTTCAACGGCTAGCTTGCTTGGTCGGTTATAGGGATGAAAATGCATCAGATTAGAGTAGATAATGTCTCTCCTATATCCTAACACACGGATGTAGGCACAATTAACACTTAATAAGTTATCCTCACTCACAAATGATAAGTTATTAGCCAATATGAAATAACAGCCAACACGATCTCAATTCAAAATTTATAACATCAAACAACGACATTACAAAATAAGAGTTCTCAACTAACAAACTTTTTAAAACCCTCTTTCTAAAGGGGACTGAGAAATATTTTTTCTCAATTGATGCAAAAAATTAGGGAAATGGGATCATTTTTTTCAATTTTATGGAGAGTGGTTTTTACCTCTATATCTCCTATAAGGCACATTTCAAAGAAAGGGGTCCTTTTTTCAATCAGATGAAGTTACCCTAATACCTTTAAGAATATACTATGTAGAACCAAAAGAATCACTTATTTTCTAGTAATGTTTCATGTTGAATCTATTAACATCAACTTCAGGATATCGATATATATATATATATATATTTCCTAATGGACAAAGATAGAATATTTTGCATCGGGACAAAACTAAATAGACTTATACTCACTCTATTTAAAATTATATGATGTCTTGGCTTCTCTATATACATAATTTTTGTTATATATTTATCTAGGTACATAGTAAAAACTAATGTATTTAAAAAATCAAAACGTGGAGGAAGTTTTTGGAATCTAAGTCGTACTAAGGGGTGTTTGGGACCACTCCGCTCCACTATTTTTTAGCCAAACGGTTTCAGCTGCACACACTATATTCAAAGAAAAATGATGGAGTTATGAAAGCACCTAAAGAGATGCTCCACAAACTATAGTTTTTTGCGGAGCAAAGTTGATGGAACAGTCCCAAACAACGTGTAGTTCACCCCCTTCGACTTTAGCGATAACTATCCAAAAGCGTTCTCAGGGGGCCTCTCGATACCCGCCATTTCTGAGTATTTGATCCTCTGAGACACCCCGGACAACGTTAACCTCAATCATCAGCCAGACTGAATAGTATGGCGTTGGACTCAAGATGGCAGCTATTTGGCGAAGTCAGCGTACAACATGCTCCACTCAGGCTCTACCTAGTTTTGTGGCCACTCCTTGATCTGGAAAACCTGGGCTCCTTTGTGAGCGAAGATCTTCCTTTGGTTGGCATTCCAACACAGGCATTGGGCAGGAGATCGACATACACGGCACGACTCCGAGCGCGTGAGAGCTTCGTTTCCTACGTGACTAGGAGCACGAGACTATATCGACCACATCATCGTCATCTGCTCGTACACCAGGGAAGTCTGGTACAGGATTTGCCAGGCCCTCGGTCGACATCTACCGCATGCAACTGACACAATCATAGGCTGGTGGCGGAGGCTGCGATCTGCGTGGAATGGTCAGCAATAAGTTGGCTTGAATTCCCTATTCGTGCTGGTTGCTTGACAGGTGTAGAAAGAAAGGAGTAGACGCTGCTTCAGAGAGTCCTCAACCACGGTGAACGACCTCCTAACAGTGATGAAGGACGAGGCCGACCGATGGATACAAGTGCGAATGTCCTGGGATGCTTGGCAGCTGGGGGATAGCGGCAGCACTTGGCGGAGGCCATTTACGTTGTGTAAGCAAAATGTAGCGTTTCCTGTAACCCGGCCGTCTGAAAGGCAGTCTTCTTGTAAATCAACGGCTCTTTCTTCTTAATACAATGATGAAAATGCTCTTGCGTATTCGGAAAAAACTATCTAAAAGCGTTTAGTAGTGAGCCAACCCTATGTTCATGATAATTTGTGATTAAACACATGTTTGTTTGGTCATAAGGGGAACTAAATCAAATTAACTGAAAATCGGTTTTCGATAAAATTTAGGAGCCGTTCGCGTTCGGTCTCGATTTAGGTGTTTAGGAGCCGTTCGATAAAACTAACATGTTGCCCACTTTGCCGAATTCTACTCCTCTAGTCTGGCCCAGTTCTGTCGGTCCACGAGCTTGTCTTCTTTACATCGCTTTGGTCCAGTCCAGCCCAGGATCCTCTGCTCTCTTCTCGGATCCCAGCCATCCCAACATTTCCCCACGACGCTCCCCGCCACGTCACCGATCCGTGCCAACATCCCCCGCCGCATCCCTCCCCTCTGATCCCAATCCAACGCGCCAGCTCCACCGTCCCACGGATCGACCCAAACCACCTCCCGCTTCGCACTCCTCAAAACTTTCGCGTTCCCTCCCAAACCCCACCGATAAATACCCCTCCCACCCCAAATCCGCAACCACGCACTCAATTCCTCTTCCTCGCATCCTCCTGATCCGCACTCCAAGTTCCAGCTGCGCAGCTCTCGGTTTCGGCGATGTCGGGGCGCGGCAAGGGCGGCAAGGGGTTGGGCAAGGGCGGCGCCAAGCGCCACCGCAAGGTGCTGCGCGACAACATCCAGGGCATCACCAAGCCGGCGATCCGGAGGCTGGCGAGGAGGGGCGGCGTCAAGCGCATCTCCGGGCTCATCTACGAGGAGACCCGCGGCGTGCTCAAGATCTTCCTCGAGAACGTCATCCGCGACGCCGTCACCTACACCGAGCACGCCCGCCGCAAGACCGTCACCGCCATGGACGTCGTCTACGCGCTCAAGCGCCAGGGCCGCACCCTCTACGGCTTCGGCGGCTAGGTCGGTTCCTCATCTGGCGTCGAACGGCATGTGGTGGCGGCGGCGGTCGTGTTGTGTGCCTAGTCTAGTGTAGTCTGGGCTCTCTTTATCGGTGGTGTATTCTGTGGTGGTTGTTCTATCTACGCTTCGGGTGTTTTCTAGTCCATTTCCTGTAATATCTAGTTGACATTATCAATGGAAAACCCTCGGTTCTAGCCTCAATGTTTCTAGTTCTGTGTTTTGTTCAGTTTCAGGATTCTTCGTCTGAGATGTATACAGTGCTGCTCATGCCCCTATAGATCTATGATGTGTTGGATTGCAATTTTTATTCTGTTCAGAGAGCTGCAAGGATTCTCTTCGTTTGGGTTGGTGAATGTTTGTCTCAAATCTCTGCTTGTTGTTTCAGGCTCCGCTTCAGTTTGGGCAATTTGCTATTTGCTTCTTTGCCTTACAATTTGCCTGTTTCATGTGTTTGTTTTTAATTTTAACTTACATTCTTAGTTACTTGATAATGGGCGCACCCCTGTAATACAGCACTGCCCTGTACTCAGTAACATCATTTGAGTCAGCAAAGAAACCATGAGGCCAGTGTAAAATAATGAGTATGGTGGTGAGCGGCAAACTGAAAACTGATAATGGAAGAATGGATTCTCTCCTCATGATTCCATCTGCAAGGCTAGATCTGTAATGAGAAAATGAGTGCCTGGATTTGGTAATATGTTTCATGTATTCTACATTCTCTAAAGACCAGCGTCAGAGTTTAGCATAAGCTGACATTGTGAGTGGTAAACAAAATGAAACAGAGAAACGAGTTGCAGTTGCTGCCCTTGTTGCAAGTACAGAAATGCATACACACTTTATCATTGCTTGCCAGGTAAAATATTGCAATACAACGGAGACATCCAAATTCGGCCTTCTATTTTGAATGATACATCAAGCCTCTTTAGAACAACTATGAAGGGTACATGAAAAAGCATTTATGAGCCAGAGTAACTATCTGAGGCCCTGCACTAAGTAATTTTCTCCTAATAATGATATTCCTTGTTCTGCAGAGGAATATACATCACAGCCCAACTCGTAGGATCAGAACAAAAATGAGAAACTGTAAGCTGATCTTGTGGCACTCATTCTCTACAGAAGAAACTGCTTCCCCGTGTATGTCTTGCCATACTCCCAATCCTTGGGCACCACGTTGAAACTGGTCAGTGTCTTGCCATCGCTTGAGCTGAGCTCAAATGACAGGGGTTGTCCCCTCATGTCACAGTTGATGTGCCACACCTGGCCCCAATTGCGGCCCATCGAGAGCCATCCTAACTCTGTTCCTTTGATCTTCACAGATCTAACATCACCCGCGCCACCAACATTGCTGATTAGGACTGTAAAGAAGAAGTGCCGACCGTTGACAGAGAATCTGACACCACCTTCACGGAGGCACTTAACACTGCAAACAAGCAAGGAAACATGTCAATGTAAGCTCAGTCTGACATTAGTCGCTATTGCTTTCTTTTTAACATGTTATATACAGCTTTGGTTAGCTGTATCTATATTAAAATATGTTGCAGGGTTAAAGAACAGTTGGGTATAAGTGTATATTTGTATGGAAACACTGTTAGTGTTTTGGGAATAAAAGTCTGAAACAACTTAAGGACACAACAGTGTGGATGATTTCAGCCAAATATCCTCAGGCCTATTGTCCTCTGAAATATAGATCATTCAGGAAATAAATTTGATAGCAGCATATTTTATCAATAAGCCAAGTAGGAAATCATAGCAACATGTACCTTACACTGCAGAGTGTCAACTTGGATTCACATAATGTTGATTGAACATTAATAGAATATTTGTAAAGGTATTGGGCAGCACATATAAGTAAATTCATAAAATTATCTTCTCAATGGCGCTGAAATATCAGATTAATACTTCACTAATTTATGAATGCATGTGCCAAGTATATTTGTAATCTGTTTGGCTCTGGCACTAATACGAACAGTCATCTTTCAGACAGATAGTAGTGTTTGTAGGACTGAAAAGGACGTACCAAGTGCCAATCATCATAAAATGTTACCACAAACACAGAAAGCAAGGTTAAGGACAACTACAAGTAGCACAGCAGTATACTAATTCACAGGCTGGCTTTGGAATTACTTAGCACTAAAGGGACATCTCATGTAGCCATGTTCCCAAGGAAGCAAATGAACTGTGCGTTGTTTTTTTTATAATAAAAAACTGTGGGTTGTTAAATGCCTGTGCAAAGGTGCAGATGTTGTTGACACATTTCTTTCTGGCTACCATGATAGTTATGCCACTCCTCAGAGGCAACCAATTGAAAATAATATTTCTCACATAATGCTGCCCAGAATTATCAGAATTCTGAAGTTTTGACTTAGATTTGGCGAAACCCAGAGACTAGCTCAGCTATGAGCATTTGTTTTACGTTTTTGAATTTGGTGTGTTGGTGCAACTCATCCTACTGATTCTACGTTCTAATGACCACTCAACTGGTCAAGAAACATAGCACGAAAGAACGAAGAAGGATTTGGGATGGCAACCACTGGGCACCACAAATGTTGTTATCACTGGTGACATATAAGTAAGCTCTATTTTAACCCAACCTAGAAATTTCACAGCCCTGGATCAGAAGTAGAGCAATTAAATAGATCTCTAATACTCATGCACACTACCATGTGCTGAGTAAACTTTTGTTTGGAGGGACCATGTAATTTTGTTGATAGCCAAAACCCAAAGGGTCATGCTAACTGATGTATCTGGCTCTGGTTGAAAACGCTCACACAAGTTGACAACACAAAGAGGGTCCACTTCCACTCCCACCTCCTCTACACTTTCCTCACCAGCGGACACTAGCAATTCAGCTTTTCTTGGGTTCCACACTGCGCTAACCAACACAATTCTAGGTCAGCAAGCGCTTTCACAGTTTCACACAAAGTGGATTACGGGGGGAAAAACTCTCAGATCTAGCAGCAGCAAAAGAAGCAGTGGCACGTACCGGCGGTACTGGATGGGCATGATGCCGGCCTTCCAGAGCGCAATCTTCTCAAACGACTGGATGGGGAGGAGGAAATGGTGGTTGGGCGGGTTGCAGTGGCCGCCGGCGTCGGCGGGGAGGCCGTAGTTTGGGGCGCAGAAGTTGGTGGCCGTGACGACGATGGAGGTACCGGGGAGGCAGTACTTGAGATCCTCGACGCACTTGACCTCGTAGCAGCCGCCGCACGCCGCGCCGCGCTCGAACAGCGCCGTGCTCAGCCCCACCGTCGCCATCCCGTACCCGTGCTTCCCCAGATCCCCGAACCCGCACGCCCCACCTGCACGCCGCATAGCAGAGCAAAGAATTAGGTAGGAACAAAAGCTTATACGGGTAGCACCATGCGGCCGGAATCAATCAAGAACCGTACGGACGCACAATTCCGGTAACCGAACGTGCGGTTCGGGGGAAAATTTCGTTCCAGGGGCACCCTGAAGGAGAAATCTTTATGCGGGCTTACCGCATTGATACGACGAATTAAAGATGCCCAAGGACGGCTGGCAGAATTGCGGTTGATGGGGGTGAACAATGAATGAGGCAGGCAAGTTTGGAAGCGTACCGATGGCGTCTTCGGGGTCGGCGGCGTAGTAGGATGCCTTGGCGGGGCGCCACTCGGAGAGCGCGGAGGAGCCGTAGGAGGACGGGTGCTGGTGTCCGGCGGCGAGGGCCGGGAGGAGGAGGAGGAGGAAGAGCAGGAGCGGCGGAGCCATGGCTCCCGACTGCTCGCTGCCGGTGCCGGTGCCGGGGCCGGTATGGTATGCCTCGGTGAAGCTGGGGAGTGGGGGAGGAAGGAGTGTGGACTGTGGAGGAACTCTGGAAGTAAAGATTTCCAAACGGGCCAGGCCCATCGGGCCAGCACGGGCACGATGCTGATTTGGCCCGGTACGAAAACGGCCCGCCCGCCTCTCCTGCGTGCCCGTGCCAAGCAAGCGGCCCTTCGCGCTCCGCACGCGGCGCGATGCCACCGTTATACAGGCACGCACGGCCGCCTCGGAGGCCGCGACGGGTTTGCAGCGGCTTGGAGCCGTTGGATGGAGACCCCACGATTCCTAGCCGTTGGATGTAGGGTTGGGACGAGTGGCTATATAAGCCAAATGGCGCTCCCGGTCTGCTGTTGAGCGGCTGAAAGACCAGGTTCATTCTCTCCCCGCTTCATTGCTTCCTTCCGCTCTCAGCGCTCGCTCCGCCTCTCTCTCTCTCTTCTTCAAACCCTAGCCACTCACTCACCCGATCTCTCTCTTCTTCCCGCCCTCCGGTGGTTTGGTGACGACAATGATGGGCATACGGCACACTCAGACACGGCCTTCTTTCTTTCACCCCCTCTTCTCCCCGACCGTGATGTAGCTTAGTCGTCTCCATCTCCTCCTCGCTCTCTCTCTCGTCGGGCTCGTCGACCTCGCCGGGACTCGGTGTCATTGGGGCTCCGCAAGGAGGCGTTGAGGTACCAGACGCCGGATCGGCGAGCGACGCTCGGCGCTCGTCGTTGCCTCTGGTGCTCCGTCAGCGAGGTGAGCTCAGATCCGCTTCTTCTTCTTCACTTCATTTCTTTTCTTGTTCTTGATTCGGTGTTCTTCACTTCTTGTTCTTGATTGTTTGTTCTTCATCTCCTTCTTCTTCTTCTTGATTTAACCCTAGATCTGCTTTTTTTTTGAAGCATTACCAGCTGGCGTTGAGGGACCGGAGGCCGCAAGAACGACGAGATGTCGGACGAGGAGGAGGACATCGGTCTCTCCATGACCATCAACGACGAGCTCCGCCTACTGGGATGACCGGAGACGACGAGGACGATGTCGTTGGGGATGCCGAGGAGCTCTTGGCCGTCGTCTTCTTCTAGAGAGCTCAACGGCGCAAACCCACTTCCGTCGACGACGGTGATGGCTAACGCCGCCCGTATGACGCTCAAGCTCAAGCCACCGGTGATGACGGCTCAAGCAAAGCAAGCCTAATCGCCTTCTACCTCGGTCTGCTGGGGAAGATTTCGAGAAGCTCATCAAGAAGGTAAATGGTAAGGATGTCGGTATGGCGCTCGGTGTCTTCACTTGCCGTAAGGAGTACTCTGCTAATTCTAAATTTGGGATCGCCATCTTCTCCGTCATCAAGACTCTTGCCCTAAGAAGCGTGAGAAATGTCGCATGGCTCAATCCCCACATTACTTTCAATAAGGATGGTAGTGTGCGTAATTGGGAGTATTCTGCTGAGGTTGCTCGTAAGGAGCTTGTTCGTTTGCTTGCTAGGCTAGACCTTCCCCTGCGTCTTGGTGAAACTGAGGCCAGGGAAGATTACATAAAAACTGCTCATAACCCTAGGTACTCTCTCAGTGTCTAAGCAAACTACAACTAGAGATCTTTTTAAGTATTTCAATTCTAAGCGTGATAGTTTGATTGAAGATTTGAAGAATAATGCCATTTCATCTGCTGCTATTACTTTTATTTGGTCCGGAAATGCTAAAGAGGATTATTTGAGTGTTGTTGGTCATTACATTAATGCTGATTGGCAACTTGAAAAAAGGGTGCTTGGCTTAAGGCTTATAGATGCATCACATAATGCTGATAACATTGCTGAACGTGTTAAGATTGTGCTTAATGATTATGGTATATTGAACAAGGTCTTTTACTGTTACATTGACAATGCCTCTGCTAATAATAAAGCTATGGATAAACCAAAACTCAGTGACTTAAGGAGTATTTAGGTTCGATCTGTTTTTGCATCAACGCTTTGTGCTTGTCATATCATAAACCCGATTGTTAAAGAGGCTTTGGTTGTCATTAGTGCTTTGATTGATGCTTTCGAATCGCAATATCATGGATTAACTCTTCTAACATTCGAGTTGTTTGCATATAAGAGTTACTTGCATGGCATCCAGTACTAGACCTAGGAAGTTTGCTTTGGACATGGATGTTAGGTGGAACTCTACATACCGATGCTTAGGCATTTGCTACCACACAAGGAAATTTTTCATACTTTCATTGAGTCTAATTATCCTAGACCTAAAGGTGGCCCTTTCTTTTGACTCATGATCATTGGGCTATAGCAACTAAAATATCGGAATTCCTTGAACTGCTTTTATGACTCAACAGCTTTTTGTCCGTGTGTACTATCCTATCCTCACTTATGGTTCATCATATTGTTAAGATTGCTATACACACAGCATAAGTATCAAAATGATGAACATATTAGAACTATTGTTCAACCTATGATTGATAAGTACAATAAGTATTGGAGAACCATACACGATCTTTCTTGCATTGCATTTATCTTGGATCCAAGAGCTAAAATTAAAGGTTTTAACAAAGTGCTTAAGAAGTTAAATGTGCTTCTTGATGTCGATTATTCTAATAAGTCGATGCAAACTAGAACTCTACTTTTCAAGTCAGTATCATAAGTATGATGATTTGTATGGCTCTGTAAGGGGCTAAAAGGCTGATCCTCCAAGCCTATCTGTAAGAAAAGAACACTTTGGGCTGAAATATATGATGATGATGATGATGATGATGGTCCGTTGGAGTCACTCGTTCTTCTCTTCCTCCTAATCTTGATATGTCTAGGAGTATGCCTCACTCATCGTTTTGTTACATGCAAAGAAGTTCTTCTAGCGATGAGTTCTGAATCTGCCCGCTTATCCGGATTGTGACACAAAGAGCCAAAGGGATGATGACTTCAACATCCCGAATCGGTGGCATCGCCATAAGCTAACATATCCAGTTCTTTCTACCCTTGCTAAAGATGTTTTCAGGTGTTGCTTTCTACCATTTCCTCGAAGCTACTTTCATACCAATCGGCAGATCATTGAAGAAAGGCGGCGAGGCTAAACCCCGAGATCTGTGGAGGCACTCACATGCATCAAGGATCTGGGAAGTCACTTTGAGTCAAGGCTACAACATATGGTGGAGGATAAGGAGCTCGAGGAGGCCTTTGAAAACCTTTATCTTGATTAGTCATTCATTTATGTAATGGTCTCAGAATCTTAAAGACTTGGACTTGGATGCTTTGGACCTGTGGATTGGATTTAATGAACAATTGGATTAAACTAAGGGGTTGGTCAGACTTTTTTCCCTGTCTAGGGTTTCTCAAAGGGTGAGTTTTACAGACGGTTTTTTTAATGAGACGACCATTGCACATACTCCTTTTATTTCATATTCTGCTCTTCTTGTGTTCTCTTTTTTCTTTTGCTTTCTTCAAATTTGAATTTGATCATTGAATTGTGCTCATTGTTTGTGAACATTTTAAGTGTTATTGAGGTTTTAGTGCCTGAACGCACTAATCCATTGGGGCTTCTGCCGTGCCTTGTGGCACGCAAGACACGGCACCGCCTGACTCCTTAGTGCCGTGCACGGGCCGGAGTGGTGGCACGGCGGCACTACACGGCACGGCACGGTCAAGATGCCGTGCCTAATAGTGCCGTGCCTGATAGTGCCGTGCCGCGCCGTGCTAGTGCCGTACCGTGCCCGGGCGGCCCGTTTGGAAAACTTTATCTGGAAGTGTGGTGCTTTCAGCTTGGGTACTTTTGCAGGTTTCTGGGGCCTTCCTGCTTTTATAGATGTTTTTAAAGGGTATTTTAGTGGAGAGTTCTTTTGAAGTGCTTAGCCTTTGCATGTTTTTGTTTTCTGTGGATAATAAATAGACTGAATAGTGAGTGGAAAGGAGTTGACGTAGAAAGGAATCAAAAGGCTGGATGGGAGGGAAGGATGCAATGCAGCAATGGTGTTTAACTAATCAACCTAGATTTGTCTATGCTTATTGAAGGGGTGAAACATCAATCAGTTCCCCGTAGACGCGTACAGATGTACTGCGTATTGAGAAAGCTGGATTCCACAGATTAGCTCTTGTTGAGTTCTTAATTTCAGAACATTTGTTTGTAGAGAAATTTTATTCGTTTATTTACCTTTTGTTGTCGGAATATGGACATAACTTTGTTGTGCTGCACAAATCCATTCCAATTTTTATTAGTTGTCCTTTAGACAGTCGCATTTGAGCATACAGTACACAGGTACTAGTAGCGTAGATTGAACACAATACAAAGTCATGAACTCTTATTATAGCTTTACAGAGTGTACTACATATTGTCAAACTGATTTGCTCTTAATGTCATCTAAGGAACAATATTAGGCCAAGAGATTGGCCAACGTTGAGTTATGTCAACCGGAATATGTGACCACTAGACGAATGTAGTTCCTCTTGCGTAACTGCACAGTGTGATACTGTAAATGACAATGGAACTCAAACTCATGCCTAGCGTGTTTGTATGTCAGTGACAACTGACAAGTCATGGTGAAATTACGGCAGAGGATCTCTTTCCACAGAGACAATCACACAACCTTCACGGTTTCACCTTCACTTCCCTAACGCTCTAATTAGAGGCTTATTTACTGGTACTGGTAGGAACCAGAGGAGGCATGTATCAACCAGGCGCTCACCGGGGAAGGAAGGCCCGGAACTGGAACAAGGGTGCTCTCCCATCCCAGCGACCCGCCGGAACATTTTTTATTCCACGGGCCTGCCGCCTGCCTTCTTTCAGGTAGCTTCTGGCCGGGCCGCCGATTATGGCGGGGACACACACAGAGGTTGGACTTCCTTCCACAGGCGGGCGCCAGCGCCAGTGCGCCACGGCGCTCGTACTCCGTACGCATGTGACGTGGTGTGACCCCTCTCGTTTCTGTCCCCTTGTGACCCTGGGGATTCTCCGTGACGCGCGCATCCAGGCCCTGATTAG